CAGGGATTTCAGTGGCCATAAATTCTGATGGTAAATAATAAAAACATGCACATGGAACTAGGGAACAGAACCAGAAGTGTAGGTTCAAAGGTTGTACAGCACATCACATGAAACATTTCAGATGAGTTTGGGCTGCTTATCTGTAAGTACAGAGCTTGGTTGCAGCTTTCTCATAATGTTCTTTGTTAGCCTCTGCAAGGATTCCAGCAATTACACTTCTCTATCTACTATAAGTTTCTCCAGCTCCGTATTTGCCCATCATCATTCCTGACTAGCTACGCTTTATGTCACTGTGAACTAAATCAGTTACTATAGCAACTTCTTTGTCTTGGTCCAGGTAACTAGGAACGTACTCACTTAAGCCATTAACTTCCAGAGTGACTCACCTGGGCATTTTTCTCTTTTCTACAAGCTGATTTTGGCAACCACTGTTGCTTTCACCCTGAGGTGATTGCAACCATAATTTTCCTTGTAGGAAGAAAGTGGTTGGAGGTGGATTCAGACTAGCTTATATTACTGTCCACCCATGCAAATCCACCCTCAGTTTCAAAATCAGTGCCAAGACAAACAATCATACTTGTAGGTAGTGGCTAACTGAAGATGAACTGCTGGATCTTTTTAAGATGCGTTGTAAAAATTCAGCATGTCTCCAAAGTTCTATTATCCCAAAATCATACTAAAACCTGGGATGTATTATTGTTTTATTTGGTTATTTGTATGTTTGGCTGGGAACAGACCACGTCCAAACTTTTCACTCAGTTGATGTTAACTCCCAGATATCCGACTGATTTCTGAAACTACCACAGCAAAGAGCAGCTATTAACATGCATTTAGGATGTGATATTAACTGAAAGAGGTGCAGGACAGAATTGACTCAGGAACTGGGTAAGTTTATATTACCAAAGCAGCCTTTTTGCTCATGTTTCCTCTGAGCTAAACAGTAGCTATTGCAGAGGTTTCTGAATATTTCTTATAAGGGTCATCCCCATACTGTCCACCTGCATCCAGTGGCGTAGCGTGGGGGGTGCAGGGGGGGCCGGCCGCACCGGGCGCAACATCTGGGGTTAGGGCAAATCCACAGGTTAGGGGGCGCAAATTACTTGCCTTGCCCTGGGTGCTGACAACCCACGCTACGCCACTGCCTGCATCTCAGCTAGAGTTCTGGAGAAAGACTTTTTAAGTAATTGAACCAATTGTCTGATTAGTACAAAAGCACTGAACACACAAAAAAACCTTATCTAATTCAGGAGAACTGATTAAAGGTTGTTAAAATCTAACCACCCATACACTGTGGTCTTTCAGACAATTTGTGGTTAGTATTGATGAGCTGGTGGGACGCAGGTGGCGCTGTGGACGCGGGTGGCGGGGACGCGGGTGGCACTGTGGGTAAAAGCCTCAGCGCCTAGGGCTTGCCGATCGAAAGGTCGGCGGTTCAAATCCCCGCGGCGGGGTGCGCTCCCGCTGCTCGGTCCCAGCGCCTGCCAACCTAGCAGTTCGAAAGCACTCCCGGGTGCAAGTAGATAAATAGGGACCGCTTACTAGCGGGAAGGTAAACGGCGTTTCCGTGTGCAGCTCTGGTTCGCCAGAGCAGCGATGTCATGCTGGCCACGTGACCCGGAAGTGTCTCCGGACAGCGCTGGCTCCCGGCCTCTTAAGTGAGATGAGTGCACAACCCTAGAGTCTGTCAAGACTGGCCCGTACGGGCAGGGGTACCTTTACCTTTACCTTTATTGATGAGCTGAGTGGATTTGCCCCATTGCTGAGGAGTATGGAAATAGGCAGAAGAAACTTGATGCTTCTGATTGGCACTTGATGATTCACTAGGGCTTCCACTATTCATCTTGTGCACAGGCAGTAGCAATGGGTAGGATGCTGCTGCTTACCTGACCATGGTGTACCAGGAGGGCAAGTGAAGTGGTGGTGAGGTTGGTGTGGTGGAAACACATTGGCAGAGCCAATCCAGTGTTTCTCCTGATGTGTTTACACCACACCAATCTCGCTGCTGCCTTGCTCTTTCTCTTTGCCCTCCCAGTGCACCACAGGGAAAGCAGTGATGGGAGGTCAAGTAAGCACCCCTGCCTTACCAACAACTGCTGCACACAGGTCCCTTCAACTTAACAGACCAGTCCTGGGCCAAATGTTGCTATTGAAGGTGCTTATGTGTAGATCATCATATTCCTTTCTGCTGGTCAATGAACATGTTTGTTAATTCTGGGCTTCCATACGAAATGCAGACACATAGCAAATAATCTACTAAATGGGAGGGGGAGCAAGGCAGAAAGCACAGCTATTTTATTTTTTAAAAGCAGCTATTCAGTAATTACACATCAAGCAATAACATAATTGCTTTTTAACCTTTTTGGCTCAGTTGGGAAGTGTACAAACAACAGAAGTCTCCCCACTGAATTAAAATTAAAAATCTGGATTAAGCAGCAGTGAGTATGATCGAGCCAAAGTTAAACACTTTTATGCCCCAGGGGAGACATTGAATGAGTGCTTGACTCTCCCACTCCCATTAATTTTCTTAAGAATGTGCTTATCTTGATCAAATAGTAACAGCCTTCTAGAGCAAACACAAATGAGATCTGTTCCACACACATGCAATTTGACACCACAGATAATTGTTTACATAAATTAGTTGATTGAAAAAGATGCCATGGGGGTGGGGAATTAAGTGCCATTAAAAATAGTAAAGGAGCCCAATGAACTGAAAGGATATATCCAGGTGTTTATGGTAAAGGTAAAGGTACCCCTGCCCTTACGGGCCAGTCGTGACCGACTCTGGGGTTGCGTGCTCATCTCGCTTAAGAGGCCGGGAGCCAGCACTGTCCGAAGACACTTTTGGGTCACGTGGCCAGCGTGACGAAGCTGCTCTGGCGAGCCAGCACCAGCGCAATGCACAGAAACGCCGTTTACCTTCCCGCTATAAAGTGGTACCTATTTATCTACTAGGCACTGAGGTTTTACCCACAGCGCCACCCGTGTCCTTCAGGTGTTTATGGTAGCAGTCCCTAAAATTGACATTTTGTGTAGCCATACACCGTTAATTAACAACTGGCAAAATACCACTTGTTCAGTGTCTTATTGAGCTGCATCCTGGGTTGGGAAGGTATAATACTGTAAGGGAAGAGAATAAATTCCAAAAGCACGTGGAATGTGAGCTATCATTCTGCCCATTAAAGGTGAGTGAATCGTTTGGTGGTAGCAGCTGATGAACTGGTTTCCTAGTCCAGAGATGGGGATCCTGAAGTTCTGCAGAAGTTGTTGGACACGCATCAGCTTCAGTCAGCTTGGTCAATAGTCACAAACTCTGCATTCCCACAGAGCTGCTGAATGAGGAAGGCCTTCCCTCCAAGCACTTGGAGGGAAAAGAAGCTTTCATACCTTAACAATTCCACAGCAAAACCCAGCAGTTCCAACTAACAAACTGCCTCACCAGCCACCACTGTCTGCTAGTCACAGTGGAGATTAATCAGTTCAAAGATTCTGCTGTTTTTCATTCATAGGCTAAAGCTACAGACTGCAGGAGAACATTAGGTTTCTGCTCAGAATGATATCCTGTGATGTGACATAACTGTGTTGTGCGTTTCTTTGCCTACCGCCTGCAAGAATCATAGAACTGTAGAGTTGGAAGGGACCCCAAGGGTCATCTAGTCCAGCCCCCTGCAATGCAGGAATTTCAACTAAAGCATCCATGGCAGATGGCCATCCAACCTCTGCTTAAAAACCTCCAAGGAAGGAGAGTTCACCACCTCCCAACGGTGTCCACTGCATTGTCGAACAGCTCTTACCACCAGAAAGTTCTTTCTGAGAACCTACTTTCTTGTAACTTGAATCCATTGGTCCGAGTCCTACCCTCCAGAGCAGGAGAAAATAATCTTGCTCCATCTTCCATGTGATAACCCTTGAGATATTTTCTCTTATGTCAATAATGCTTGTCCCTTCCACCTGAATAACTAGATCAGTCAGATTTCCATTCCCCCAGTGAAATCTTGTGCGTCATAAGTGGTATCAAACACTGAAGCATCTCCTCCAGAAAACATTGGATATTAATTCAACATGAAGGTACAGGGATTTTGACTTTTCTCAGCAGGAGTTCTGGCCTTCTTGAATGATACAGTCATTAACTTTGGGAAAGCGAACTAAGGCAAAAACGACACAATTACAAGGGATAAATTAGATATGATTTTCATTGTTTGAATGCAATTAAAATGCATGTTCCTTCTTTTTAAAAAAAATGTTAGTAGCAGCTGTACAGGGGTCAAGTAAGAAGGTAAGGAAGGGAAGTTCAACACCCCATCCCACTGTGGTCTAGATTAAAATTACGCTCCCACCTGAAGCTGCTCTTTGCATCAGGAAGGAAACCTCCACTGCACCGAAGGAGGCTTTTCTCCCTGATGCAAAGTGCAAGACAGCAGAGGAGGGACTTTTGTCCAATCTATGGTAGATTTGTACTAAGAGGTACAGAATTAGCAACACTGGGCACAGGGAGAAATCCCTCCAGGAAATGTAGCCAAACCAAACACAAGGTGGACTGGCACTTTCAGCTGCTATCACTCTAAATGTTATGTGCTGTCCTCCTTTCTGTTCTCATCAAAAGGAGCCCCTTATGAATGCTATTTATATACATATTAATGCCCACATTAATGAAAAGGAATCAATGTCATGGGCAATCATTTTGCAGGCTGAGCTATTTTTCCTAAAAGAGTTCAACGTTTTTCAAAATAGCCATGTCAGGCAAGTCTTTGGTAATCCTCACCATCACAGATTCAGATCCACTGTTTCTATGTGTGTTGGAAGCTGCCCAGAGTGGCTGGGGAAACCCAGCTAGATGGGTGGGGTATAAATAAGAAAATTATTATTATTACTGGGAATGGGGGGAAGGGAAGAGTATAACCCAGTTTTTATGACCAAACATATTTTCTCATGTGAATAAGGTATGTTTGAGCCAGTAGGTTCATCCTTATGGTTAGTAACATAATTATTTCTCTTGTCCTTAGGTATAGAGCTATAGTGAGACCAATGGACCTTCAAGCTTCCCACGCCCTGATGAAGATTTGTTTGAAAGCTATCATGATCTGGATTTTATCTATGCTGCTTGCCATTCCTGAAGCTGTGTTTTCAGACTTGCGACCTTTCTATGACAAAGGCACTAACAAAACATTCATCAGTTGTACACCCTACCCACTGACCAATGAGCTGCATCCAAAAATTCAATCCATGGCTTCCTTTCTCATCTTTTACATAATTCCCCTGTCTGTTATTTCAGTATACTATTATTTCATTGCCAAAAACCTGATACGGAGTGCTTACAACCTACCGGTGGAAGGAAATGTCCATGTCAGAAAACAGGTATGTCTTATTTTGTTTGCAAGTAATAACTACCCAAAGCCAAACTGGGAATGACATTTCATTACAAATAAAGAGAAAGGTGTTTCAAAGGATCCATTGAGCAAAGAGGTGTGGATAAATTACGGTACATTGCAGCTTGTCTTTTGTGTATATTTCATGAGTGGGAGTCTCAGTTCCTTCCCGTTTGTCCTTGGTTTTTTTTTTACAGCTCTAATGACTTTAAGTATTTGGAGTTCAAAGACTGTTTCTATAAAGCAATTCCATAAATACATTCATGTGGAAAAGTGATGTGAGGATTAGGTACATAACATTTCTGGGGAAGGACTCAATAACCAGCACCTTTATGTCCATCCAGTCCACCTGATTGGTTCATGCCTCCAAGAAGGATATGGATAACAAATCCTAGTGCCCTTTGCAAACATCAAACATTGGAAGGGTCACAGGATCCCTAACCCTGCTATATACTCACTGGGGAGTGAGCCCCATTGACTACAGTTGGCCATTACCTCTGAGTAAACATGCATAGGATTGCATTTTAAATTGTGCATTAACTAGAAAAAATTGGGGTGAAATAAAAGCATCACACTGAATAACTTATGGGTGTTTTCCAAAAACAGCTAATGCTCTTTATGTTTTCTAAATTATACGAAACATTCTTCTTGTATTTCTTGCTCATGCTTGATGCTATTCTTCCTTCTGCACCTCTGACAATAACCATTGAATATATGCAGAGTAAAAAGGAGAAGCAATATTTCTCACCAGCTAAGGGAAACAGGAGCCAAGATTAAATCTGTAAAACAGTGGTTTCCCCTTTGAGTTTCAGACAGACAGTGCCTTTTGTCTCTTTCAGAAACAAGTATTGCTTGTTTATTGCATTACCTTCTGCCTTCATAATGTCCATGCAGGTGGCAGGAGCAACAAGTATTAAGTTAAGATTCCACTCCATAAAGTATATATGATTTTCCTTCACAGAAAAGTCTATCACAGAACTTAATTGTTAGTTTGATCTTTGAAAAAAAATTGTTTCTCAGCAGGCCTGTGTCAATCACCTGTTGTCAACTCCATACCTTTCAGTCTATGCAACTGAGAGGAATAAAAGATCTGAAGTGACAGTGATAGATGACAATGGCGGTACTGTTGCTGGCTTCCCTCTTTCAAGGTGGAATAGCTGCTTTTCTGAGAGGCTAAGCTTGTTGACTGATTATTTTGTGAGATATAGTCACTGCTCTCTAGATTTCTCCATGGCTGTCAGTGTCGAGATACAGAAAGTTGAAATGAAAATCCTGGCCAGATTGCACCCCACTGAATAGAATTGCTGGGATTGAATGAAACTGCTGGGCTAGATCCGGCATAGGTACAAGTGTTGGGATGGAGCTGCCCTCCTGAAATTGGTTTTACCATTGCTTACCCAGATGAGGCTGAGTTGGGCAATGGCAGCAGTGAGCTCAGAGTTCTGTGGCCACAACACCAATCTGGTGGTCCTACTAGTGCAACCTCACACCCACCCAGCCTCAGTCCCATCTAGGTAAGAAGCTGCAGTGCTGGTGCTGTGAGAGTGACTCCAGCCTATGCCACATGCCACTACTGAATAAATCCACAGGAGTGTGTGGCCAGAAGCAGAAATAATTGCAGGCTGGATCTGAGCTGAGAAAAGCATCTTGTGTGGGGCTGGAACAAGGGTATAGATGGGCAGGCAAAAGAATGGGAAAGGAGGTTAGGGTGGTAGAAGATGTTCAGGGAGGTAAGGTGTCAGGTAATACTACTACTACTACTAATAATAATAATAATAATACCCCACCCATAAGACTGGGTTGCCGCAGCCACTCTGGGTGGCTAGCAAGACTGAGAAGGTCTGGCTGATACCCAGGCAAATGCCCAGGCCAGATCTGAAAATATTTATAACCAGGCCATGTAAAGAGGAACCAAATGGCTGTCCGGTTAGGGGTCATCTAGAGGTGGAATTATGCTCTGAACTGGAACACTGTCAACGTTGATAGTGCTGTCCATCTGCTAGGCAATGAGGCATAGGCAGCAGTATTCTGCATGTATCTATCTGTGGCTTGGGACCAGAATATAAAAGAGTGTCTGCCCCAGTTTTGAAGGGACATTAGGATCCAAGTACCTCCCTTGTCCACACATATTGACTACTTCAGCTCCTGCACATCCTTTGTTCTGCTGCCCCAACTCACTAGCAAAGAGCAGGAATTGTGGGGGCAGCATTGCCATTTACTCTGCTTTTCAAGATTCTCATTTTTGGCACTGCCAAAAACAAAGAACAGGATTTTCCCTCACATCTCCACTTTGTTCTCTTTGCATACTTCAGTTTTTGTGGCTTTGGGGAGCATGGGAAGCTGTGATGTCTTGGTAGGACTTAGATGTGCCCATTTTCTGTATTTAACTGAACTGGAAACACCACTGAAAAGTATGTTTATGCATTTCTTGTCCACAGGATACTTTCCCCACATAACCATGACATGGGAGTTCTGCTCCCTGCAGCAAGGCTCCCCTCTCCTTACATTTGTACAAAGATCAAGTTACCAATGATGGGACAAACATGGATAGAACCATAGGCCAATATGTTCCTTTGCTCTTGGTATGAAATATGGTGTTCCATAATGGCAAATCTTTACTGCTGTACTTCACTGTATGTATGCAAGGTGTCATAATGCATTTAACTAGGCCCATGGGGCTGCAATCCTTTGCATTCTTACATGGAAGTAAGTCCCGTTCAACTCGGGGTCAAGCAAACATGGATAGGACTGGACTGTAAACAAATTGTGGCGCCCGCTCTGTGGAACGCCCTCCCATCAGATGTCAAAGAAATAAACAACTATCTGACTTTTAGAAGACATCTGAAGGCAGCCCTGTTTAGGGAAGTTTTTAATGTTTGAAGTTTTATTCTGTTTTTAATGCTCTGTTGAAAGCAGCCCAGAGTGGCTGGGGAAACCCAGCCAGATGGGCGGGGTACAAATAATAAATTATTTTTATTATTTTTATTAATATTTCAAATGGATTTATTTCAAAAGAAAATGGAGTTTTAGAAGGGGTGGGAGAAGCATGACTATATTTCTGAGATTGCTAAACTCAGTGCAGAACAAAATTACCCTGTCCTCTGTTAAACTGAAATAGTTTCCACATCTTCTATTGAATGTTGTTGACCATGTTGTTCTTTTCAGATGGAATCGCGAAAACGCCTAGCCAAGACAGTGCTGGTTTTCGTCTGCATCTTCGCTTTCTGTTGGCTGCCCAATCACATCATCTACTTATATCGATCGTACCACTATTCCGAGGTGGACACATCCATTCTGCACTTTATCACTTCTCTCTGTGCTCGGATCCTGGCATTTGCCAACTCTTGCATTAACCCCTTTGCACTCTACCTGCTCAGCAAAAGTTTCAGGAAACAATTTAACCACCAGCTTTCATGTTGCAAAGCCCGCAAGCTCATGAAGTCCCAGAGCAGAAGCACCACGCGGATGGCGTCCCTCAAGAGCTCCAACCAATCGATGGTCGTGTTCAGCTTCATCAATGGCAACCACCCCTGCCACGAGGAGAATGTATAGGCTGCACCACAGAGACTGAAAACGGTCACAAGATCTGTGTAGCCATTGCTGCTTGTTTTGTTATGTTTGTTTGCTCCTGTAAGTAACAAATGTACATAATTGCACAGAGAGGCGGACAGTGACCAGAGAACAAACTGACAGCATGCGAGCAAGGTTTAATGCAGAGCAGAAGGGCTGCCCATACCTGCACTGTCATTTTTAGGGTCTTGCATTATAATATGTGGGTTCCTTTTGGTTTCTACTGTTCAGAGATGAATGTTGAAGGCATCCAAGTCCTCATCAGATTATCAGCCTGTTCCTTTGTTAGCCTTGTACAGAAGACTGCGGAGGGAGGAAACTTTTTTGGTATGTGCAGGTTCTGGAAGAAAGTCAGGGTTATTATCATTATCGTTATTTATTGCTAGAATGAGCCAGTCCCCCATTTTGTCCTTCACACTGTACGGAAACAGCCACAGGGTCCAGAGTAGAGCCAGCTCTCCATCTTCACTGTCCCACACTCCACTCTTCTGGACCCATAATACCCACTGATAAGGCATTCTCATCCCCTTTCTGTGAAATACCTGCATAGATGGGACAGTCCTAGTAGCCGAGTCAGATCAGTGTAGTACATTTGCACTTGCGCAACAGGTTAGCACATATGCAGAGAGAGCACGACCATTTTCAGAGATTGGCCTGAAGGCTTTCCCCCCATTTTGTCTGGTAGGATGCTAACTTCTTACTTACACCATTTTAAATGAGCAAGCCTGCAACAAAAACGAAATAACAAAATGATGTAAGGGATTCCCTGGTTCTATCTTACCTGCCCACCTTCACTCATGCTTAAGAAAAGACCTTTATGGTTTTGTTTTTTGCACTAAAGTAAGGCAGCATTTCTAAGCATGCTTAGTTTAGAGTAAAACCTATTTAACCCAAAGTGATGTCATCCAGGGATTTTTAAAAGGAATTTTCACTGTGACAGAGGGCAAGGGAATGAACACAAAAGGGCACTTAAAAATCATGCAACAGTGCATTTTTCATCTTCACTTGAAATAATTAAACACACATTGATTTAAATAGGCAAACGTCTTGGAACATATATTCTAATAGTAAATTGTTGTAATTTAAAGAAACTTGGCATTTAAAATGAAACTAAAATGTCCAGAACTCTCTTTTTTTTATAATCCATTCAGCATAAATCTCCTGAGCAGGCTGACATTGTCTCCTGACTTTGATTGAAAAAAAGTGGACAACAGCCAGTTGGGGATCACAACAGGCTGTACCAAGCCCATTCAGAGCTGGGTTTGGCCATGCATTAACTACCTGTGTTTGTGTGTCATTATGCAGGGACACAATTATTTTTAGTTTGCACTGTGTGGTGAGAGAATTGCAATTGCTGCCAGACATTATTGCACCATGCTATAATTTATAGGAATCAGCTAGTGAAGATACAGAGACACTGAACATCCTAAATCACTCCAATGTGGGAAATTGGGGCACTTTAGAAATTACTTCCCATGGTTCCCTTCCTTCTTCTATGCAAGAAAGATTCTAGCATACAATATCAATCCTGTCTTCACAAGCTGTGTGAGTAACTATGTTTATAGCAGACCTTGGATAGCAGACAGCTTAGGGTCCTGTTCTTAAAGAAGATGCTTTGCTAAAAAAATTGTTCAGCTGCTTGCACACTTTCCAAACAAATTGCACATGCATTTTGACTGTTAACAAATCTTCAGTTCTTTCACTTTCACCATGACCGGCGAAGTTAAATTTGGATTTGGATTCACATCTCCAGGGAAAGGACCTTCCTTCATTAACTGTAGCTTTCTGATTGCTGAATCTCTACAAGCAAGTATGCCAGGAAAGATGCTCTTATCACATTACAGATAATATTGTAGAACCTGGTGCACATCTAAGCTATTCCCGTTTTGTTAGCCAAATGTGTTTTATCATTCCATGTTTTCAGAAGACCATGGGCTTCTGCTTTTTCTTTTCTATCTTCAGTCTTCTTAAGACTTTCTGGCAACTAGTCTGGTTGAGCAACACTATTATTAATGAGGTGGACATGGTGCTGTATAAACCATACATAGTGATTTTGCAAAAATTGTTTTGATGAGAGAAAGACAGAACCCAGTAGGTTTGTTTTATTCTTTGATGTGTGGAAGTAGGTGTTCCAAGCTAATAGGCTAGCCTTCCAGATCTTCAGCTCTGGAACAGTGGTGATGATGCAGCAAGGTCTGATCAGTGAGCACAGCACCAAAAAGTCAAACTTTCTCTAATGTGCTGATCTCTTAAATGTTTCCCAAGACCAGAGTTCTTCGTTGTGTTTGCTGATTCTCCAGTCATTTCCATCCGTTTCTTGACATCAGAACTACATTATTTCTGGGCTTCTTTCATGTAGTTCACCAGAAACTACATTATTTCAGGGCTTCAAGCAAACCTTTAGCCCTATTCTGCTCTGGCAGATGCATCAGTAGGAAAAGATTTCTCCAATTTCTGTTTGTCATTGCAGTTCTACAACTAATACATTTGTTATCTTCTGTTTGCTGACACTGCCATCAATGGGAGTACTGAATGCCAAACATTCATCAAATTTTCATTTTAGTTCTGTGGCACTGATACTTGCCAACACTTCTCTGTAATAAACAAGATCTCTACAGTGATTAAATGCTGGTAGTTTCACGATCAGGTCTTTCGTCATTCATAAGTCACTCTAAGCGGTTGGTAGCAAGAGTGATCAAGGACCAGATATGCAGAAATAGGCTCCCCACATGCCAAAGTGACTGTGAATTTGATATTTTCTGCATTTTGTGTCTTCCGTATTTTCAGCCATGGATGTTTATCACTGCTTTTCTCCCGGTGCAGCTCTATTGCCTGCTGATGCACTTCCAAATTGAGGTGATTCACAATTCTTTTAAAATGACCATTTCTGTCAGATCCCAGTGAAGTCAACACAGTACTGTACTAATTCTTAAAGTACCGTATTTTTTGCACCATAACACTCACTTTTTTCCTCCTAAAAAGTAAGGGGAAATGTCTGTGCGTGTTATGGAGGGAATGCCTACGAGTGGCATGCCTACAGATTTTCCTCCTCTAAAAACTACGTGCGTGTTATGGTCGGGTGCGTGTTATAGAATGAAAAATACGGTACTTCTTTGCTTCCTCTATACATTCTCAACACATTTTACAGCTGACACACTGACACGTCTTCCTATTCTTAGCTGTGCAGGAGATTCTAATTCTGGAAAGCTTTTTTTACAAGCTAACTCACTCCCTTTTCGATGATGGTTGGTTTCCCCCCATTCTGCTTTCAGGTTTTGTCATATCCTTTTCCTGGCAGTGTAACTCCAATTCCTGTATGGGATTGACAATCGAGACAATAGTGGTCACAACAGCAGGCAGTGAAGACTGCTTGGCAAACTTACTTGTCAGCTTAGTATTTTGCAACAGCTCGTTGACATTTTTTATGTTTCCATTTTGCAGGTCTTTCAGCATTTGGCATTGTGCACCACATCTCAATGCCCAGATCAGAATAATATCAATAATAGCAGCTTGCACTGAATTCCTGGCACTCACTTTGCCCCGAACTATGTTTCACTGGAGAATTGGCCTGAATATCCCCTGCCAACCAGTGGCAGCTAGTGAACTGGGAACTGGGAAGATTATTTACTTTTACTTTTTTAAAAACAAACAAACAAAGCTTCTCTTGGACCCTTCTGCAGGAGAACATCCTGATAAGACACAAACTTTTTGGTAAAACATGGGATACTGTCTGCCTATAGAGAAACCCAGAATCCCTATGGGCAAGTCCTGTCCTATGTCTGATGTGATCATTAAGCAGTGCCTATATTGCCAGTTAAGTAGAGTAGCTACCCTCAACGGTCTGATTGGGCTCCCATTCAACCACAATTTAGCCTTTACAAAAAGTAGCAAGCCTACCTTCAAACTTCCCACAGTTCAGACTTTTAAAGATTTAACTGGAGAGACCAAGAAGAGAGCAACAGACTTCCCCGAGAGAGACATAGCCTTCTTCCATCCAGGCAGGTTTGCTGGGAAAGGGGAAGAGTTCCAAGCAGGGCAGCTTGATGGGAAACAGAGTTCCTGACTCACTGTTCTACTATAGTCTAGCAACAACAGTTACCATTTTAAACATTCACAAATTTCTTTTAAGTATGATCCTCCCTCCATATGCATTTGAGACTCCAATATAATAATAGCTCTCACCCTTTAAAATAACTAAATAGTCTGGGCCTGCCCTGCCCTGCCCTGCTCTGAATTCCACTCCTGCTGCTCTTAGTCAAAATGACTCCCAAAGCCCTGGAAACTACCTTTTTCTCCTCCCATGTGTGCCTCTCCTTCTTCCCACCCTAGTTTACACACAAGAGTCTGAAAGCCTTGAATCTCCTTAATAGGCCTAATTAAGCCATATGGCTTATGTTTTGCATAAAAGAGGATGGCAAACCCTAAATCTCAGAGTCCAGATGAAAACACAAACAGCATCTAAATGTTGTCCCCCCCCCAATGTAAACCGATATGTAAAAGTAAATGTAAACTCAAGGAGAATTAAGAGGGCTCTTAATTGCAGGGGGATTCATGAAGGCTGGGGGAGGAATCCCCTCCATTTTATATAAGACATGCTTGGATTATGCTGCACATCTATTAAATGAGCAAAGCGAAGGAATTTTATATTTTCAACAACAGCAGCAGCAGAGGGGTGGTGGTGAAGGCAGGCCTTGATTAGAATGGTCAAGAATCTCTTAAGTATTTTCAGTACAGTATTAATTCATGTTGTGAAAAAAATGTGAGGAGAGTTGTGTTTACCGGGGTTGTGTGGCCCCCTTCTGAAATAAGCCGTATGTTGTATACAATCTAAATGTGAATATGTGATACCATTAAATAAATGTAAGTTTAACTATGTTTACAACAGTGTGCATTTTGCCATATTGGGGGGTGGGGGTAGGGTAAAGCACAGCACTTTCCCAATGTTTCTTAAATGTTCAGGTGATGTATTCATGGATGTCAAACTGTGTCATATAGAGCTTTAGGCATGTTTAAGAATAAGGAACAACTGCAAAGTGAAACACACAATGCTTTTTTTTTGTATATTGAGATATGTACTATGTAGTAATAATATGCGGTGATAGATATTAAAAGCTCAACACATTTATTCTACAACAATGTGTCTGGCTAATGCCACTAATAGAATTGCAATGTTCTAATATTATTGGGTTATGGTTATGATAACTTTGTGGTTTATCCTGTCAATTCTACAATTTCGGAATCTGACATTTGCTCAAAGCAAGGAGAGGGGTTAACCGGTAGGTAGCAGCTAGCAGGTTGACCAAAAATGTTTGGGGTTTATCACCTCTGCTAAGAACATATTTAACTACCTTAAAACTAGCCACTATCTTTTAGCCTCAGCTGTCCAACTATAGCATGAAGATAATTATTTTGGCCTATCTCTCAAAGTTATGGTAAAGAAAAATTGACACTTGGGCCTCCACAAAGATGGCTGGATGAAAGAACTGCTAGATCTGGACCCTGACTCCACTGAGTCTGCGTCCAACAACCAGGGAACTTCTTCTGAACCAGGACTCCCCAGTGACTGCAGTCTCTGAGCTGCACCCCACCAAGAAGCCAGCATACATTCCCCTATGAGCCTCACATGCCGCTGTGCTTGACTGCAGGCAGCATGTCTTATTAGAGTTAGCAGAGAGGCAACACAGTGCCAACCTTCAGGTCAGAGGGTTCTTTATTTACCAGCAATGAAGCAGAGCCTGGGAGAGGCAGTGTGACTGAGGGGCCATCTAAGAACTCATTCTGCAACCAGCACTTTTGGAACAAGTTGTCTCTTCCTTAGGACCTGTCCAGGGTACTGAAGGCCCTGTCTTTGAGCACCCTTGTTCCCAGACTCTGATTTTCGGCCTGCTAATTGGTCGCACAGTCTCTGCCTTTTGGCACCTTCCTCTTGCAACTGGTCTCCGGACCACTACTTAGCTTGATTCCTCAATACTCCACCTGAGTTCTGGGCTCGACCATGAAAAAAAGGACCTTGGAAATTAGGACAGTTTGAACTGCCTAAAAAAATAATAATACTGTTTTGTTCCATGAGGTCTTTGCACTATGAATGCTGCTCTGATATTTTAATCTTCTGGTGTTTCAATCCTCCGGTCTTTCTGTTTTAAATCTTACATACCGTATGTTTTTATTTTGTAAGCCACTTCGTGATCCAGATGGTGAAAAGCAGGGTATAATTTTTTTAAAAAGTAAATAAAATCCCTCCTCTACCTGCAGAGGAGTGGATAAGACGTACATGGGAACAAGTCTCCAAAGAGATCATCGTTCAAGTTTTCTGCTTCTCTCACACAAGCATTGGATCACTACTTGTCAAAGAAATGAGTTGGACCAAAACATTTTGCCATAAATAAGAAGGGGGAACTGTGAAGGTACCTTGCAGATGAGAAGAAGGTTTACAGCAGCTTCATCCAGCAAGGTGTGTATGCAGTTTCCATTTTAAAAGGAAGTTTTCTGCTGTCAGAAATCAAAAGCAGAAATTCTGCCCTCTGGATGGTCATGGGTCACACTCAGCTACAAAGCTGATGGAGTGGCCTGGGGTCAATCACACTGCAGCCTAGCCTATTTGACAAGGTTGTTGGGAAAATAAAATGGCATGTGTGTGTGCAGCCCAGAAAACTATGTGTGGCACCGCATGTTCCTTGGAGAAAGGGCAAGAGGAAAATGCAGCAACAATCCAATCAAATGTTTTTCTTTCCCATATGTTAGCAAACAAATAAACCTATAAAATTCAGATTAGGGGAGACACAGACAGAGAAGAGCAATAAAACAACTACTACAGATAGAATAAAGCAGATGTAACTCGAGACCTAAAAGGCAACAGCACCAAGCAATGTTCCTGAGGGAAATGTGAACTGATTGTGATGTTCTTCTTACCTGGTCTTTGCAATGGAACACTTTAGAAGTGGAATAGCTAAATAAATAAAAGACGTGAATCTTAACCAGTAAGTTTCCACCAAGAGAAATGAGAATCTTTTATCACTTTTCCTGGTGTCTGCATCCCAGCTTCCATCCAACAAAAATTATCTCTCTTACACATTTGTTATTGAAATGAAACAAGATAACGAAATATCAGATTCCTGCTGGATTTTGCCCATGGCACATGACAGCTTTCTGCAACCCAGAGCCAGCAAACCCCCCCAGACTACAGCATCCATGGAATTTGCAATCTAAAAATTCTGGAGCTGTGTGAGAAATCTCTGGGCAGATTTTTCTCCTCTTTTTTTTTTATTATGGCATGCAGCTTCAGGGGCTGCAAATTTGACTGGAGTATTCAAATGAGGTGCGTTACTTTCTCTGTTTTTCTCAGACTGGACAAAGGTTCTCACCCTGCCTTCCTTGGACGTTTCTTTCAAATGAGGATGGGGAGGGGAAAATTGGCACCTGGGTCTCCATGGACAAAGATGGCTCAACAGCACCCCTAAATGGTGGACCTGCTCTTTTAGGGGGAATGCAACCCCAAAATAAATGTAAAACAAAATCCCTAGTACCTAGACTTGGGAGCCACTCACCCACAGTGCCTCTCTCATAGCAAAGTTCATTTTCCATTTATGGGCACAGCATCTTCTGAACCAGATTTAACAGAGAAATAGAGCTCCACACCATCAGCATAGTGATAACTATGTGCCCCAAATCCGCTGATGACTACTGCAATATAGCTGTTAACAGAACTAGGGATCAAGTGGTGTCTTGCAGCCCCTAGCACCCAAAGTAAAGGTAAAGGTAAAGGTACCCCTGCCCGTACGGGCCAGTCTTGCCAGACTCTGGGGTTGTGCGCCCATCTCACTCAAGAGGCCGGGGGCCAGCGCTGTCCGGAGACACTTCCGGGTCACGTGGCCAGCGTGACATCGCTGCTCTGGCGAGCCAGAGCCGCACACGGAAACGCCGTTTACCTTCCCGCTAGTAAGCGGTCCCTATTTATCTACTTGCACCCGAGGGTGCTTTCG